AAAAAATTATTTTCATGGAAAAAATGTATTTTCTATAAAAAAATTTCAATATTAACTTGAATTGATCTGTATATATATGTAACACTCCCAAAAGTGTCCGATTCCCCTGAACGTGTCCGATTTCACATCCCCCAAATGTGTCCGAATTTTGTTAATCGCCAAAACATGTCCAGTTTAAAACCCCAAAATGTGTCGAAACTTTTAGCGCTAATTTGTTCTCCGTGATGTCAATAACATTTACGGCAATTCAATGATAGGGAACATGATTGGCGATGTCAGTCTTGTTTGTTTGATTCTTAAAAAAAGAATCGTAGCCGCTATCCAAGGACATCTGATGGAAAGGTGAAGTGATCCGTATAGACAAATGTCCAAGATATGGCACACTATGCACAGTGACTTCTGCTTCCCAATAAACAGACACCAGATAAAAAAAACAATGGAACAATCTAAAAAAGTTATTTTTACTTGCAGCGGTTTTATTAATTTTTTTTATCAATATGATTATCATTGTTTTAAATTTTAGATGGAGGTACTTTTTATCTTGCTAATTTTCCCAGTGCTTCAATATTGATAAATTGGTCATTTATTAGCATTACATAATTAACTATGGACTGTTGATTGCTGTCCAGTGGCAAATATTTCAGGCATATTTAGAGCAAACATAAAAATTGCAATTAACTAGTTTTGTACAGTTTAGTTCATCGTTTACTTAATGAATTCTTTTCGGGAGGGATTGTACTTGATATTCATATGATGAAGACATAATCTTTCAATCAGTTTAATTGAGGTCTGAAGCTGGAATTTTTATTTAGGGGCCAGCTGAGGACCACCTTCGGGTGCGGGATTTTCTTGCTGCGTTGAAGACTCATTGGTGGCCTTCGGCTGTTATCTGCTCTTTGGCCGGGTAGTTGTCTCTTTGACATATTCCCCATTTCCATTCTCAATTTTATTTTGTACTACTATACTCTGGTTAGGCCTAACTATCTTTGAGGGTATTGCACGACTGGCTTCTTGCAGAAGTGGTTTCTGGGCTTTTTAAATTTTGGCTTCATATGATACGTTGGGGGGGATTGGACATGTTGGGCGTTTTTCAAAAAATGGACACGATTGGGGGGATGGACACGTTTCTGAGTGTGTAACACAAATACACATTTCTTATTTAAGATTATCACTTGCATATCAAATTAAATAAATAGATGCACCTTTTTAACAGTAGTTCTTACTATTAAATTCCTTGCTTAAGGTTACTTTTTCCACATTCAGAATTACAAAATTATCCCTCTTTAACATCAATACTGAAAGAAAGTTGGGTCCCCATTTTTCAGTAATTTTGATCACAATTATATTAGTCAAAACATATTGCAAAATGAATAAAATCTCAACATGAGACTTAGCGAGTGATATATGCCATAACCCAAGCAAAATCTTTTATTTAAAGAATAGCTTTTCTGGGTATATACTTAACATCAAACATAAATATAAGGGCTATTGTATAAAGGATCTCAAAGTTACTCGGTTTGCAAGTTGTTAATATGTATGCCCATATATAGAAGGCATATGTTGACTGTTAGATGTCTTTTTTGGTGTTGTTTTGTGAATCTTTTGTTTAGCTAATTATTTCACTTAACATACACCCCATATTTAATATTCATATATACAGGGAGGGAAAGATTAATGCTTAATAGTCCAATGACAAATATTACATGTAAATCAGGACAAGAACCCAATTTTAAACCGCTATTTCATAATGTTACAAACCCAGGAAGACATGTAACACTACCACAACACATTATTCTGACTCTCCTGAGCAGTCTTGGCTCCTACAACTAAATGCCACCTGATTAGCAAAAAAAAGCAAATACCAATTTTTAGGTTTTCGGTTTGACCCCATGAAATCCCACACTTGGTGAGCAATCGACTACTACACCACCAAGACAGTTGATATATATATAGGGTAACAGGACCATAACAGCTAATAGCTGGATAATATTTCCAACAAAATATCATAATCAGACATCATTTTAATAAAATGCTCCGCAGGGCGCAGCTTGATACGACCGCAGAGGTCGAACCCTGAACAGTTGGGGCAAGTATGGACACAACATTCAAGCTTGATACAGCTCTGAATTTGGATTGTGATTAAATATTTGACACAGCATAGGTTTCTGACACAGAATGAATGTGGTCTAAGAACTTAAAAATTTTAAATTGGACATTCACCTATTATGGTCCAATATCCAAAATCTAAATACATGGTTAGATTCAGCATATCAAAGAACCCCAAGAATTCAATTTTTGATGAAATCAAACAAAGTTTAATTTTGGACCCCGATTTGGACCAACTTGAAAACTGGGCCCATAATCAAAAATCTAAATACATGTTTAGATTCAGCATATCAAAGAACCCTAAAAATTCAATTTTTGTTAAAATCAAACTAAGTTTAATTTTGGACCCTTTGGACCTTAATGTAGACCAATTTGAAAACGGAACCAAAAATTAAGAATCTAAATACACGGTTAGATTCGGCATATCAAAGAACCCCAATAATTCAATTTTTGATGAAATCAAACAAAGTTAAATTTTGGACCCTTTTGACCTCAATGTGGACAAAGTTGATAACAGGGCCCAAAAATCAAAAATCTAAATACATGGTTAGATTCAGCATATCAAAGAACCCCATATATTCAATTTTTGTTGAAATCAAACAAAGTTTAATTTTGGACCCCGATTTGGACCAACTTGAAAACTGGGCCCATAATCAAAAATCTAAATACATGTTTAGATTCAGCATATCAAAGAACCCTAAAAATTCAATTTTTGTTAAAATCAAACTAAGTTTAATTTTGGACCCTTTGGACCTTAATGTAGACCAATTTGAAAACGGAACCAAAAATTAAGAATCTAAATACACGGTTAGATTCAGCATATCAAAGAACCCCAATAATTCAATTTTTGAAGAAATCAAACAAAGTTAAATTTTGGACCCTTTGGACCTCAATGTGGACCAATTTAAAAACGGGGCCCAAAATCCAAAAACTTAATACACGGTTAGATTCAGCATATTAAAGAACCCCAAGAATTCAAGAATAAAACCCCATTGAAATTGATCAAGAAATAAGCAATTTATACGAAGTATCTTCTTTTGCACAATACTGTGCAATTGAATATTTCTTGCTATTGCGCAATACTGTGCAATTGACAATTTCTTGCTATTGCGCAATATTGTGCTATTGGATATTTCTTGCTATTGCGCAATACTGTGCAATTGAAGATTTCTTGCTATTGCGCAATACTGTGCAATTGAAGATTTCTTGCTATTGTGCAATACTGTGCAATTGAAAATTTCTTGCTATTGCACAATACTTATTAGATAATAATTTACACATCCTGTTTGGTGTGTATCTCCTACCATATCATTATTATTTGCTTTTAAATATTAATCAGAAATAACCAACTTAAAATGGAAAATTTTAAAAGAAAAAAAAAAGGAAAAAAAGAAAAAAAAAGAAAAAAAAAAAATCCCCCCCCAAATTTTTTGAACCCCCTTATGATTCATCACCCCCAAACTCAATCCCAGCCTTCCCTTTGTGGTATGGTACCTTGCAGTACAATTTCAGAGAGATCCATACACTTGAACACAAGTTATTGTCTGGAAACTAGAAAAATGCTTATTTTTGGCCCCTTTTTGGCCCCCAATTCCTAAATGTTTCGGGCAATTACCCCCAAACTCAATTCCAGCTTTCCCTTTGTGATATGGAACCTTGTAGTACAATTTCAGAAATATCCAAACACTTACACACAAGTTATTGTCATGAAACTAGAAAAATGCTTGTTTTTTGCCCCTTTTTTGGCCCCTAATTCCTAAAATTTTGAGGCAATTACCCCCAAAATCAATTACAGCCTTTCCTTTGTGATATGGAACCTTGTGGTACAATGTCAGAGAGATCCATACACTTACACACAAGTTATTGTCTGGAAGTTACAAAAATGCTTATTTTTGGCCCCTTTTTGGCCCCTAATTCCTTAACTGTTAGTACCATAACCCCCAAAATCAATCCCAACCTTCCTTTCGTGGTATTGAACCTTATGGTAAAATTTCATGGAGATCAATTCACTTAAACTAAAGTTAGAGTGCGAAAACCAATGTGTCTTCGGACGACGCCGGACGACGCCAGACGACGACGACGGACGACGACGACGCCAACGTCATACCAATATACGACCAAAAAATTTTTAATTTTTGCGGTCGTATAAAAACACCTCTAAGAAGTTTCATTCATAAAGAACTGTGGATTAATTATCATTATTACATTGGTTGCAATGAATTACATTGATTTCCCAGTGAAATAAAAACTGATAATTTCACATGTGAAATAAACGTGGAAAAAGATATAGTTCCTTTCATTTTCTACTTTAATTTCATAAAAAAAGCCATTTGCCAATGTAATAAAAAGAATAACTAATCAAAGAATTCAAATATCGAAAAATATTCAACTCGTGACCGAACAACACTGATAATTAACTCATGCGCTCCGCGCATTCGTGAATTAATGTGTTGTTCGGTCACTCGTTGAATATTTTTCTCTATTTGAATTCTTCGATTAGTTATTCTATAAATATTATTCTTTGAATACCAATTTTCATTATTTTGGGGTTATAGGGGTACCACCAAATTAAATGTCCAACAAATTACAAATTTTCTATAGGAATGTATGCAGACAAAACCATGAAATCAAATAAACACAAAAATGTGAAGTTTTCCAAAAATTGGTAGCCACAAAAATAAATGAATCAACAGTAAATGGACTGATACTGACCTATACAATGTCCTTTAAACACAATGCAGAACGGGATAAAAATAGAATTAAGTTTTGTAGTTATACTGTGAACTAATTATTTAATCACCATCATTTTCCTGAAAATGCAAAACAGAAGTTTTCAGTATTTCTAAAATGCAATTTCGATGAGATTCACAAGGAAAACAAAAGGAAAACTAAAGTTTACACAAAATAGTTTTTATTGCAACATAATTAAAAATGGATGTTATGACATATCTTTACAATTTAGGTTCATAATATTTATATGACAGTCATATGTTCATTGAAAATAAATTTCACAGCTTATCATTATTACAATATCAACAATTCAGTAAATGTTATGAATGCAATACTTCTGTAATGTATAAATAAGTGAAACTATGTCTGCCATGCATTTCTATATTAACTATTTAACAGTTACAATAAACTTCAGAAAAGTAATAAATAAAATCAACATCAGATCATGACATTCTATAAATCACCAAAATTAATATGTTGAATGCAAAACCTCGGAAAAGTGGGTATTAAAAATAAACAATCTAATCAAAATTTAGATTGCTTACCAGTACTGATCAAAATCATAATCATTGTGAAACCATAGATGAAATTTTACAGTGCATATTCCTTTTGACAACACTAATTGGCCAAAATGTTTTCCATGTTGTAGTCTGAATTCATTTCTTCAAACTGATTCTCTGTTGAAAAATGTTTGCCCATTCATGAAAAAAGATTGTTGGCATGTGTCAAGTGCAGTGTAATAGAATATATTCTTATGAAGCAATTTCAAAGAATGACTTTTCGTTTTTTTGAAAGGTTGGAAGGACTGAACACTTAGTTATCAGGCTCACTACTTCATTAAAACAGGACTTGGATATGAAATCTTCCATCATAATGACAGTTTAAAATGTATTATTGTAACCATGATTACCAAATTATTACTTTAACACTTAAAATAGTTTTCATTATTATGTATATTCATCCAAAACATGCAAGAATATGTCCAATAGTCATTGTGTTCCATCTACAAATATTAGAATAAGGAAGTCCTTTTTTCGTGTAAAGGAATGTAACAGCAAAGTTCAAATGCACTTTTTTTTTATAAATGTTTGCCATCTTTATGAATCAAAGTAATAGAAATCATTGATGGAAAAATTGGAAGAGTTGTGTGAATAATTTCAAACCATAATCATGTCTTCCATTAAGTGTATTGTGGTGGACAAAAAGAAATGGATATTTCAAATTTATATGCATTCTTTATAAAGACAAATGTTTTTCAGTAGATAAAATGAGCTTAATGTGGGTCACTAAATCTGCAAAACTATTTCTTTTCATTTCATATTCTTTTTAAATCATATGATATTTTAAAAATGTAATATCAAACTAACATATTATTGTCATTATATATAAAATATAGCAACCATTAAATATAAAGATTGTGGCAATCATGACAACCAACAATTTTGATCCCAAATTGCCACTGATTGTACAACAGTTATTTTAAATTCACACCAATAATTAAGAAATCATTCACGGGGGCTTGAATTTATACTGATTTTACCAGGGGTTGGCCCTTTAACCTTGTATGTTCTTTCATTTTTTAAAATGTCATGCTACTTCAATGAAATATTGCAAAAATGAAATATTCTGAGTGGATTGAGTCTCAAAAACACATTTGATGGAAAATTGCCTTGAAATAGGGCTTTGCAATGAATATATGTAGGCTGTACCAGTCATGCTCAATGTTTCTCCATATTTCCCATATTTAGCTATACAAGAAAAGTTTTTCCTAAGAACTTCTTTAAGAAATATACAGTAATAAGTAAATGAAATGATTTTTGAAACAGTAACAACAAATTATTTACTAAAAGGGAACTATTATATGTCCATCTCTGGAATGAGGCTTAAACTTAAGTTTCACGTTAGGACTTTTTGAAACCTTTCCATGGAGTCAGTAAACTTTAATATATATAGTTCATTCAGCTTGAACACTTCAATTACCGGTATTCATTCATTATCACTTTCCTTACATAAATGTGTGATAATTACCCCAAAAGTTTGATTTATTAGCCTAAAAAGTTCAAATTTTGAGGGAATGAAAGGTATAAATGGACCAAAAGGGACCTTTTAATGAAGACAAAGAGGTACATAAGTGGTGTTTATCTTCTAAGAGTCATCTTTTGTATCATATCCCACTGTATTTATGCAAATGAGATGAATATTTGATCATTTAGTAATCCACACCATATTCTATCATGATGCAGCGTGATTTGGACTTTTCGAAGAAATCTTGCTCAAATCGTTGTAGATGTCATCTAACATTATACTTGGAAACTTGAGGTGACATGGTTACTAAAGCTTTTATACAGGAAAAAAAGGGGTGAAAATATGATTGGTTAACTTCCAGTGATTATTATCTAATATGCAATGAAATGTTATATGAAATTTTGACTGTAGTATTGGACAGGATAAAACTTTACTCATGCCAAGTATTTCTTTATTTGAAACAAAGATAAATTTTGAACAATTTTTTTAAAAATGCCAATTTAACAAAGACTCATTGGGGAAAAACAATGGTGGTATTACTCATATATATATTATATAGACTCAAGGAGATACTTGTTAGTTTAAATAACTAACATGAATTTTTTCATGTGAAACACTTCAACACAATTCTTTTATTAAGTGTTACCATGCAATTCTATATCAGTCATGCCAGTAGGTATTTTATTATTCTTTTTCAAAATAATAATTCAATAATACACATTATTCATAAGATTGTTCTATATAATTAGCTTATTGGCAACATTGTATCATCGTGCTGAATGAAATGTTGTCAGAAAAGATGACATTTTTCTCTTATAAATCTACAAATTTGTCATCATTATCAAAGTAACACTCTTAGTATGACAAAGTTCAGATGAGTTTTCAGACAATGATTTAAATTATCCATGGTTTCCAATCTCACACATTCACACATGAATGGAGCACTTTTTTTATATACAATATTTACAATGCTGATTATAAATCTATGCTATTGTTTCTTAAAACCTTTCAAAATAGGATATATATTGTCAAATGCTTCATAGATTTCTTCTCTGACTTTTGCACCTGCAAAATAAATTCAGCTACATTTACTTCATGAATATTAAAACAGATACAATGTACTTCAAATATGATGCATCATGCATAACACTAAAAAAATACATTGATCTTTGAGATTAAAACCACCGAGAAGTAAAAAGGAACTCAGCATTCTTTTTTTCTACTGTTGTGTTTTATCTAATATTTTAACTCCCTTCTCTAAAAGGTAGCTTTTATATGCAGGCCATTTTCACTTTTCGTAACACATTATTGAAGCAGCTATGATGACTTTCAGGGAATTAATTATTTGATATTTGTCTTCAGTACTTTTATTTTTGTCTTCTTACACATCCTTTTCCATTAAAACTTATTTGTCAGAATATTTTAATTGATTTTCGATGCATGTATTCATTGTGAAAGGTAAACAGATTTGTGTAAGTATTCCAGTTTTTTTGCCAGTAAAATCACAATATGTATATTAACTGTAACAGTAAACAATCAATCATTTGTAAGAGATAATGATTGTACAGCATTATTAGCTGATATCAATATTCCCATTATAAAAACTGTATTATATATCACAATACCTGTGAGCACAACTTTTCCTGAGACAAATATTAACAATACAATTCTTGGCTTGACCATTCTGTAAATTAACCCTGGAAACAATTCTGGTTCATAACTGTAAAATATATTGGAGCTTGTTAGCAGATGTGAGTACTTTTAAATACATTGCATACACTGTTAAGCATATATTAGGCTTGATTTTTCTAATGTACTATATTGGCTAATAAAGCTATAGGAAACACAAAACACATTGCTCTGTTAGGACAAATATGTCTGTCTAAAAAAACAAGAATTAGATGATCTAATGATAACAGATACCTTGTCAGATCCTTCAAAAAACAACCTCTTAAACAATAATGTCCACAGTCAAAATTGAATCTGACCTGTATATTATGGTCCATGACATTTTATTCAAATTTAATTAGGTTTCTTATTGTACAATAAAGATTTTGAAATAAGATTTCAGAGCTGAAACTGGGGCACAGTTGGCTTATTTCCTATGGAAATGCAAATCTTATTCTTTTATCAGTAATACTTCCTCTATATGATGTCTATGATGCAATGGAGAGAAAAAAGCCATTTTATTAATTATATAAACTTCTAATAAATAACATTGTTATCCCTCTTTAATATCGATATCTACTGTAACAATTATCTCTCTCTCCCTAGAAAAAGAAGACTAATTACTAGATCCATAATTAAAGCATTGCTTTAGCATTCTGACAATTAAAAGGCTCGATCAGTTGATATTTTTATAGTATATGTATGAATGTATGCTAGTTAATTCTATTTAACTAGTGTTTTTTTTCTTGGAAATGGCAAATTTATTTCACTTCATTAGACATATGAGACAGAGCATCACCTATAATCTGACAGCATATGCCGTCAATGACTCCAAATATAGCAGAGATTAACATAAACAATTGAAACAAGTTAGAAATTACCTTGAGAACTGTCCATGTGTCAATACTAAACCTTCCAATCTTATCGGAAACTTCACATCACAGCTTCCAACCATATTCTGGATTTTAAAGTCAAGAAATTTTGCCTACAAAGAAGATATCCAATTCAAATAAATGCAATAATAGTCCACTGTAATGAAAACTGATCATGGATGAGTTTACAGCTGGTATTTAGCAGCAACTGTGAAAAATTTGTTAATAAAATGCTCTGCAGGGGCAGCTTGATATGACCACAGAGGTGGAACCCTGAACAGTTGGGGCAAGTATGGACACAACATTCAAGCTTGATGCAGCTCTTAATTTGGATAGTGATTAAATATTTGACACAGCATAGGTTTCTGACACAAAATGAATGTGGTCCAAGAAACTTAAAAATTTGAAATTTGACATTTACTTATTATGGTCCAATATCCAAAATCTATATACATGATTAGATTTGGCATACCAAAGAATCCCAAGAATTAATTTTTTGATGAAATCATACAAAAAGTTTAATTTTGGACCCTTTGGATCTCAATGTGGACAAATTTGATAATGGGACCCGAAATCCAAAATCTAAATACACGGTTAGATTCAGCATATCAAATAACCCCACATATTCAATTTTTGTTGAAGTTCAACAAAGTTTAATTTTGGACCAAATTTGGACAAACTTGAAAACTGGGCCTGAAATCAAAAATCTAAATACATGTTAAGATTCAGCATATTAAAGAACCCCGAGAATTCAACACGTTGAATGAAACCCCATTGAAATTGGTCAAGAAATAAGCAATTTATACAAAGTATTAGAAAAGTATTGTTTTTTGCCCCATTTTGGCCCCTTATTCTTAAAGATTACTGCCATAACCCCCAAAATCATTCCCAACCTTCCTTATTTGATATGGAACCTTGTTTTACAATTTCATAGAGATCCATACACTTATACTCAAGTTATTGTCTGGAAACCAAATGTCTTCAGACGCTGAAGTCATACCATTATACGGCCGAAAATTTTTTTTGCAGTCGTATAAACAAAGAGATTTTGTCAAATTAAAAACAATATATTGTGTTTATCAAGTACCATTAACCTTAATACATGTCTTAGCATTGCATATTTGTGTAAGAACCTCAAATAATTATACACTTATAGAAAATGCTACATGCAAAATTTTTAAATCATTTCTGCCTAACTATTCAAATATGATTAATATGTGATTAAACCAACAAAATAGTTTGAAGGATATAATTTTCTAAATGCTAATATTTTGCATTGTTTATATTTAGTTTTATAAAATTCTCTTTTTGTGGAATACATTTATGTCATCAACTCAAATGAATTGATGGTAATTTCATATTGATCTGCAACATAAAAAAATAGCTAAATATTTCATATTTTTATGAGTTTTTAATTGTAATTATAGAAAATACAACTTTTCATTTTCTTAAAAGGTATCATGTAAAACTTCAAACAAAGTTCAGTTTTATGACAAAATCTATATAGCAATATGACCTTGATTCCCCCCCCCCCCCCCCAAATCAGGTGAAGTTTAAATAATGATTTTGACCATTATTCATAACAGTGCACTTACAGCAAATCCAAGTTTCTGTACTATTCTTGCATACTTTCTGGCTGCTAATTTTGCCTGATCTTCACTACATAGAAAAACAAAACAATATAAATAGGATCATATACATCATGAAATGTTTGCACATACAAGTCATTAAAAATTAAATGAGGTCATTCACAATCTCAGTTATAAAAAAAACAGTTTTTTTTATATACAATGATATATAAAATCAACGGTAAATAAAGCAGTATAAATAGAGGTTGATTTTTCCAATACAAGAACATTTGATATTCCTAATATATATGATTTTAAAAATTCAACAAACTCGGAGAATGGCAATGAAGCATGAAACGTATATTTTAGTGACAAACAACTGATGGGAGACAATTATCCTCCTTTAGATCCATTTATATACCAAGTTGTATGATTGACAGCTAGTTTCAGAGGACTGTTTCTAAAGCTGGTATACATTTTTAGCTCACCTGGCCCAAAGGGCCAAGTGAGCTTTTCTCATCACTTGGCGTCCGTCGTCGTCCGTCGTCATTAACTTTTACAAAAATCTTGTCCTCTGAAACTACTGGGCCAAATTTGACCAAACTTGGCCACAATCATCATTGGGGTATCTAGTTTAAAAAATGTGTCCGGTGACCCGGCCAACCAACCAAGATGGCCGCCATGGCTAAAAATAGAACATAGGGGTAAAATGTAGATTTTGGCTTATATCACTGAAACCAAAGCATTTAGAGCAAATCTGACAGGGGTAAAATTGTTTATCAGGTCAAGATCTATCTGCCCTGAAATTTTCAGATGAATCGGACAACCCGTTGTTGGGTTGCTGCCCCTGAATTGGTAATTTTAAGGAAATTTTGCCGTTTTTGGTTATTATCTTGAATATTATTATAGATAGAGATAAACTGTAAACAGTAATAATGTTCAGCAAAGTGTAAACAGTAATAATGTTCAGCAAAGTAAGATCTACAAATAAGTCAACTTGACCAAAATGGTCAGTTGACCCCTTAAGGAGTTATTGCCCTTTATAGTCAATTTTTAACCATTTTTCGTAAATTTTTGTAATCTTTTACAAAAATCTTCTCCTCTTAAATTACTAAGACAAATTTAACCAAACTTGTCCACAATCATCATTAGGGTATCTATATTAAAAAATGTGTCCGATGACCCCGCCCGCGAACCAAGATGGCCGACATGGCTAAAAAATAGTACATAGGTTAAAATGCAGTTTTTGGCTCATATATCTGAAACCAAAGCATTTAGATCAAATCTGATGAGGATAAAATTGTTCATTAGGTCAAGATCTATCTGCCCTGAAATTTTCAGACCAATCAGGCAACAAGATGTTGGGTTGCTGCCCCTGAATTGGTAATTTTAAGAAATTTTGCAGCTTTTGGTTATTATCTTGAATATTATTATAGATAGAGATGAACTGTAAACAGCAATAATGTACAGCAAAGTTAGATCTACCAATAAGTCAACATGACCAAAATTGTCAATTGACCCCTTAAGGAGTTATTGCCCTTTATAGTCAATTTTTTACAATTTTCATAAATTTTGTAAATATTTGTAAATTTTTACAAAATATTTTCCACTGTAACTACCGGGCCAAGTTCATTATAGATAGAGATAATAGTAAGGAGCAAGAATGTTCAGTAAAGTAAGATCTACAAACACATCACCATCACCAAAACACAATTTTGTCAAGAATCCATCTGTGTCCTTTGTTTAATATGCACATAGACCAAGGTGAGCGACACAGGCTCTTTAGAGCCTCTAGTTTTTTATTTTACTACAATGTTCGAATATAGTATATATATTCACAAATTGAAATAGACATACTTTGAATAATTAAAAGTACTCTACACAATTATTTACCTTTTAGCACCTGTACACACCATCTTTCCAGAGCTAAAAATTAAAGCTGTAGTCCTAGGATCTCTTATTCTCATAATTACAGCTGCAAATCGTTTTGGATTGTACTCTGCATTTCTTGCATGTAAAGCTATCTTTTTCAAATCAAGTTTACAGCCCAGATTTACAGTACACACAATGTTTCTGAAAGAAAACCGTTTGTATGAGAACTTAACCTGCAATATTTGCAATCTAAGTGATTATCTTTTTCAAACATTCTGTATTTTTATAAATATTTCTAATTTGATTTTTCAAGGTAATCAGTATTACACTGGAAAATCAAATGTATTACATCATAAATGTATGCATTTCTGATATATAGAAATAGACATACAAAACAAGAGTGCACACACTGAAATGCCTCGCCTTCTTTACTAACCATTGATTTTATGTTGATAGTCCTAAATATAAAGCTTTACTACAAGTAACACATAAACTTAACATGATCCAAGAAAATGAGGTCAAGGTCAGATAAACTAAACGAGAAATACATGTACCGGGTACACCTTACAATCATTCAATAAACCAAACATAGTTGACCTATTGCTTATAGTTTCTAAGAAACAGTCTTAACCAAGAAAACTTAACATTGACCAATGAACCATGAAGATGAGGTCAAGGTCAGATGAACCATGCCAGACAGACATGTACACCTTACAATCAATTTATGCATTAAATATAGTTGACCTATTGCCTATAGTACATGTATCTAAGAAACAAACTTAACCATGAAAACTTAACATTGACCAATGAACCATGAAAATGAGGTCAAGTACAGATGATACCTGCCAGACAGACATATACACCTTACAATCCTTCCATACAACAAATATAGTTGATCTATTGCTTATAGTTGAAGAAAAAGACCAAAACACAAAAACTCAACACTGAGAAATGAATCGTGAAAATGAGATCAAGGTCAAATAAAACCTGAGAGACTGACATGTACATCATAAAATATTTCCATTCACCAAATATAGTTGACCTATTGCATATAGTATTAGAAAAAAAGACCAAAACTCAATAACTTAACTTTGACCACTGAACCATGAAAATGAGGTCAAGGTCAGATGACACCTACCAGTTGGACATGTACATCATTCCATATACCAAATATAGTAGACCTACTGCTTATAGTATCTGGTATGTGGAATTGACCACGAAAACTTAACCTTGTTCACTGATCCATGAAATGAGGTTGAGGTCAAATGAAAATTGTCTGACGGGCATGAGGACCTTGCAAGGTACGCACATTATAAATATAGTTATCCTATTACTCATAATAAGAAAGAAATTAACATTACAAAAACTGTTGACTTTTTTTTCAAGTAGTCACTGAACCATGAAAATGAGGTCAAGGACAATGGACATATGACAGACGGAAACTTTGTAACATAAGGCATCTATATACAAAGTATGAAGCATCCAGGTCTTCTAGCTTCTAAAATATAAAGCTTTTAAGAAGTTAGGAAACAACGCTGCCGCCACTGCCGGATCACTATCCCTATGTCGAGCTTTCTGCGACAAAAGTCGCAGGCTCGACAAAAAACTGTGGATTCATCATTATTCGTTGGATACCAATTTTCGTGGAATTCATGTGCATAGGTGAAACCACAAATTTAAATGTTCAACGAATTACAAATTTTATATATGCTTGTATGCAGACTTTGTCAAAACCACGAAATCAAATATACATGTACATGAAATAGCAACTTTTCCTCAATCCACGAAAATTGATACACACGAAAATAAATGAATCCACAGCATATGTTTGTTAATAGGCAAACTAAGCTTAGTTTTTAAAGGAGTTCGCTTCATTAAAAAAAAATATATAGCATTCAGAAAATAAGTTTATACAGAATAACAAAAACAAACCTACCACAAAATTCTTCAAACAATTTACCAAAGAAAAGAGGGAAAAAAAAACAAAATGTCACTTATCATTAATACAATATCTATTAAAAATCTATAAAACTTATCTGTAATTATCTTCAAAATGTCTAATAATGAACAGTAAATTTCAAACTTTATTTATACTTCTACAGATCTTATCATCATCAACACTTAGGAAACAGAAAATTTTCAAATAAATCTGTCACTTCAATTATAATTGTGTGATAAGATATTTACCAGATGCTTTGTTATCTGATAACAGGTGAAAATTAGTTAAAAACACTTAGTGTAATCAAACTTTATATATATAATTAATAGTTTTCTTTCATTTGTCACAAACTAATATAGATCTGCAACTTATCTATCAATGTCAACAATTTTATCTACACAATGTAATGTAATGAAATGTATCCTTTAATAAAAATAGATTATTATGATTTATCTAATGAAAATGATATTTGCAATCACAATTTCTGTTCAAAAGGAAATAACTCAATCATATAATAAGTATAACTTTTGGCTACTAAAAGGTTGACAACTCAACAAAGAGAAAAGCTCTTACTTATCAAATATATTTCTGTTCAAAGGGAAATAACTCAAAATGAATAAATCATATAATAAGCACTTTTGCTACTGAAAAGGTCTACAACTCAACAACGATAACAGCTAAAATAATGAAAATTAAAGTTGACATTCATTTAGTCACAGGAAACAACATATCTAAATTTGAAAAAATTTCGTCAAAGCATTTGCATGTTAATGAACAGACACTGTTTGGCAGCTGCCCGCCAACCGTACATCTACAAATCAATAACCGATTTTTCCTGCGAAAAGTTGTGTATATCAAAATTATTTGGTTGTACATTTTGTATTTTGAAAGAAGGTTGATAAGCTACATGTAAGTGTAGCATTCATATATATCTTTAACCATTTGTTTATGAGAAATGAGTCTGTATTCTAAACATAAGTTAACCACAGTTGAGGATGTCTTAATTGAAAGCAGCTTACTGAAGTTGAGGTTTTAAAGGCATAGTTCCCATGCCCTCTGATGCTGGGGTAGCTGGAGATATCGGCGTCATTGGCCCTCCTGGATTAGGAGTTGGTGGATACAAACTAGCTGTGTTTGATGGAGGCATCACTGGATTTGGAGTAGAACCAATACTAAAATTACTCATTGCTGGTGACATCATTGGACTCTGAAATTTATATATATGTGAATAAAGCAAAACATTTTGTACTTTTAATATACAAAGAAGGAATCTTGACGTAACATTAGCAATTCCCTTTGTTGGCCTTGTATAAAAGAAATTATGCTGTAGCATAAGTCAGCAACCTAAATAAACACCTTATACAAATATTGACATCTAGAAGTCGTTGTCATATCTATGGTCTAAAACATTTCCCCCAAGGATTAGTAAAGTAACTTTCCCTTTCCAGATTTTTTCTGTGCACAATTCTTTGTTCTTTTTCTCTGTGTTATCTAATTGTACAGTAACAATTTTTCCTGTACTTTTCAGACGAGAGAATAATTTTGACATTGTTTAACATACATTGTATTTGTGTCTACACCTTTTTTCTTTCAGTTTTTTGGGTGAATTTGGTGTCTATTTTATTTTGTACTTGGTGAAGGAGAAAGAAAAAATATCATTTGTAAAATTTATAAATAATTCATTGTATAAAAAATAGTTATTCAAACAGACTTTTACCTCTTTCAAAGGTTACACCTGCCCCATATTATCAAAATGGTATCCCAACTTTGCATTATTTGGGCAATTGGTGAATTGGTCCAAAAATTACCTGAATAGACTGCATAGGCTGAGGAGTCAAGCCAGTGCCATATGATGCAAAACTCCCTTGATTTGGATCCATTTTTTTTTGCTTTTAAACTAATCTTATAATTTCCAATTCCCTACCAACTGAAAAGTGGTGTTCGTTCTGGGTTGCGGCGGTGGAATTTACCCAATTACACCGTACACACTCATATTTTATTTTCTATATATTCTAATTGCTACAATTGGTTAATTCTAACTATGGAAAAACTGTTGTCTTAAAAATTCACAGGGAAAACTATTAACAGTTCAATTTGGCCATGTAGCATCACACTCTCAGTCTTTAGTCTTAGATTGTAACAAATTAATGAAAACAGTAAACCGCGGAAACTGTCGCCTATGTTCATAAGAAAATAATCAATCGCTTACAACCACACGAAAAATGTGGCGACATAAAAGCTGATGTTAAATCGCCACATACAATTTTCGCCCTAAATCAAAATCGCCGCATCATAATCATTCCAAATCATTAATAAAGGCCCTCAAATTCTATAGGCATCGATGATGATGATGATGATGATGAATGTATTTCCCGAGCATATTTATGATAGTTAAATTTCAGTCATGGGCATACCGAATTTCAACAGTATAGCAAGTGTCTGGGGCGTGTTTTATTGGTCTCTTCTGCACATCTCCAGAATGTCTTCTGGTGAAGAGTCCAAAAAAATGAATCTGGGCCTCTTCTGGAGATATACTACGGAAGATCAATAAAACAAAAATTCAAATTGCCGTCGAATATAGCAGAATTTTGTTATGTTGGATGACATATTAAATGAAGTTTACGATGATTTTATAGAAAATTAAGATACGTCCGGTAGACATGACTGTAAAAGTGTGCTTTGTTCGTGATATTTTTCTTTGTTCTTTCCTCTAACTCAATTTTGCTAGACAAATCAGGCGTAAACCCCCACTATTTGATTTTTAAGAATAACCTTAAACTGCACAAAAATTCGTCAATGTTTGTCTCGAATGATCAAAAAGGTCATATTGTCTATCCAATTTTTTTAAAGTAACCAAACTGGATTATTTTTGTATAAAGCAAAGATATCGGAAAGTTCTCAAAATCATTTTTCTCTGGTGGTCCTTGAAGAAAATTTTCTGGTCCTCACTATTATTTCAATTGCATAATTTCGATGGTCAAAACCTTCGGACCACCACTTTTCAAAAATTTTCATTGTATATGGATCTATATGCAAGTATACAATGTATACCAGACATTTCTTAGACTGTTTTTTCTTCTTTTTTTTAATAAATCCGTTGGTTGTGTACTGATTGATACTTCAGTCTGGGAGAACAAGATTTATTTCAGTACTATAGTTGTAATTAGCTTTGAACAAACTTTCAGTAATTGCAAATACTCTTATTTCGGTGCTTTGTGTCTATTGTCTTAATGTAAGTTTTTTTTTTTTGTGTGTCTCGTACCGATCTTTTGAGTTAATCTAATTGCAATTGATTTGTGCAGGTTGTTCTTATATTGTACTGTTACACCACTATCACAGCTTCGGGGAGGGTTGAGCGCTCACAAACATGTTATTGTTCTGTTACACCACTGTCCCAGGTTAGGGGGCTGGTTGGGCCGGATCCCGCTAACATGTTTAACCCCGCCACATTCTGTATGTATGTGCCTGTCCCAAGTCAAGAGCCTGTAATTCAAGGCCGTAACTACCATTGAGGTAAGTGACTCTGAGGCAATTGCCTCACTAAAATTTCGACACTGAATTTTTTTTTTTGGTGTATTTGTTTATGGTAATTAAATACGAAATATAGTCATTTGTTTTTTCTGTCCCAACCTTAATTTCTTCTATAACTTGAGTCACATCGTTCCTTTTAAATTGTTCTTCCCGGATATAACTCAGCATCTCACCGGGTTTCTCGATTACATTAACCTAGTAACGGTAATCATCATGGATCTCTCAGACTGGTTAAAACAGGCTCTTGCAGAAAAAGGAAAAGCGATACTGAAGGTGAGGAAGGAATAGTTCTAGTAAACTAACTGATGTTGTTTGTGATCACAACAGGTGTTAAGAGTTCGAGTAATGAATATATTTTCATTGGAACTAATCCAAAAACTATAATTAGACTGACAAATCAAGTACTGCGGCACCCGCACGGGAGCAGTCCTATCTGCGTATTCATTTCCCCGTTTTCCCCAACTTTATTCGTTCTCTTTACAGATAAACAAAATATAAATAATATGAAACCTGCATGGATTAGTTTTTATCCATAATTTTTTTAAGAACATCCCGTAATCCAATTTTGACATTATTGAGGGACGGTGTTTTCTAATTCGGGACTACGGAATTTCGTTTCTTTTCATTCGGGATTTCGGGATCGGACCCCCTCCTCCCCCTCATTATTCGATTCTCGATCTAAAATATCAGTGACGAGTGTTTGTTGTGAACGTTCTGTTATTGCCCTGAGACGACTGAAAACTTGGGAAAGAGCATGCATGATTGGCGAGAGACTGTGCGGTCTTGCCATGCTCCATGTTCATCGCGATAAGGATGTCAGCAGACCAAATATTCTGAAACGATTTGACGAAACCGGTCGTAGAAAAATTGGCAAACTCCAATTTGAATAACAATTGCTACTGAGTCGATGTTTGTTCTGTGTTCTGGCGGCAGACTCAAATTGATATTTGGATGTTTATCTGACATACAAATCTATATAAAGTTGTTTAAAATTTGGTGTTAGTACATGTCTTAAAATATGAAAAATATATAAAAAAGTGTCAAAAAATGAAAAAGATGTCAAGCTCTCTGTATATGCCCAGAATACAGGATTTTACACCATCTATCCCAGACCCCCTGCCAACATTTTTTGCCTCGCTCCGCTCGGCTCAATTTTTTCAGTTTTGCCTCACTAAAATAATATGCCTAGTTACGGCCTTGTAATTCATTGGTTGTCGTTTGTTGCTGTGTTACATATTTGTTTTTCGTTCATTTTTTTGTACATTAATTAGACCGTTAGTTTTCTCGTTTGAATTGTTTTACATTTGTGATTTCGGGGCCTTTTATAGCTGACTATGCGGAATGGGCTTTGCTTATTGTTGAAGGCCGTACGGTGACCTATAGCTGTTAATTGCTGTGTCATTTGGTCTCTTGTGGAGGGTTGTCTCATTGGCAATCTTCGTTTTTATATTAACCCTGCCATTTTCTTTGTGTGCCTTTCCCAAGTCAGGAGCCTGTAGTTTAGTTGTTGTCGTTGGTTCATGTCTCGACTCATATTTGATATTTTGTAAATTATTTTGTTATGTATAATTAGGCCGTAAGTTTTATCGTTTGAATTGTTTCTCACACTTTTCACGTCGGGTTTTGTCATTGTTGAAGGCCTTAATTACGGTTGCCTATAATTGCTTACATCCACTTCATATTTGAACTCCGGTGGATAGTTGCCTCATTAGCCATCATACATTTCTTCGTTTTTATTTATTTACCTGACTTTTAAACTCGTGTTTCCTGAACCGAACCGAATCCTGAACCTGCATGACATATTTGTCACTGGGCGTTAAAAATTAGCAACAAACAATCAATCAATTTAAACTTGTGTTAAATAAGAAGAAAAACCATTTGATATTCATTCATTTATTGGATTGGGGGCAGGAGGATTTCATATATGAATATGGTTGGCCGGTAAGAGCTGAAAAATAGGCATAATTAGCGACAGATTAAAAAAGTTAATTATGCCCTCTTCCCTTCCCCATCCTTCATCTATAAATTTAAACTGATCACCACGGAATAGCCCAACTTAGTGTTGAAAGTAGCGTTAAACACCAATCAATCAAAATCCCTTCCCTAGAATATCAAATAGTGGTCCCTTAACTGTTATTGTCCGTGTAGTTCTTATATTTATACAGCTTATCGTCCTACATGGATGTCCTACTAAGACTGTCATACCATAAAAACGTTTATAACACAGCTCACATTCTAATATATCTGCATTCATAAATTTATTAATGTCATTTAGACTAAACGACGCCATGTTTGTTATGTGCCTCTGCCGTCTAAACTACCTATCAAAAAAGAAGAGGTGGAAGAGAGCCAGAAGATCTTCCCTATGCAAAAAAACAGAAATGGACCTCTTCTGGCTCACTACCGAAGAACAAAAAAACACGCCCCAGATGACTGAAACCTTGCGTACCGTGACAAAGGCCAGCTGACAATGGAAGTCATGGTTAAAATACAGAGAATAGATAGCAAAAACGCCATATCAAACATGTGACCATCAAAAGAGAATAAGAACCATTTTTTATTTATTCAATGTGCAAACCTGGTAAAAGACAACATGATGCACATTAAACAACTCCACTAGAAGTTAGAGGTATATGCTGCCAACAAGAAAATTGGCTTTTTAAACCGAAAAAACACCTTTTACACGCTATTGATGCAAAATGATTGTAACAGCTAAAGAACACACCTGCTTATGTCTAATTAATCATACATGCCGTCTGACAACAAAGTATACGGATAATGAATACAACTTGAAAATGCTCTGGCACAAATGACAAAAATAATAAGAAAATACAGGATCATTCATGACTGGCATAATCACATACTGCTATGTGGAGACTTGAATGAGTTCTAAAATATCTCATGATCCTTATTAAAGATATTTTGACAGAAAATTAATTGGAACTAAATTAACCCAGATTACCCAGAGAAAAAAAAACGTTTTCTAGCTTCTGGACAGATTGACGACATTCTCTCAGCAAAAAAAGAACTAACACATAATATACAGATCTTAGAAATTGAACCAGAAAACACATCCTACCATGTACCTATCATAGCAATAATCAACAGAAAACTAGTTAGGAAAGCCAACAAATCAAAATCAGTCATTGTGAGAACAAAATGGAAAAAATGCAATCTTCAAAAGTATCAATTAACCATATCCGTTGAAGTGAACAAAACACTTCGAACTATCAACAAACAAAAATTTCGATGAGGGCAACACAGCAATAGAAAAAATAATATGCAATGCATGCATTGAACAAAATACTTCGAACTAGAAACAAAAACATACAGGAAGGCAACACAGCAATAGAAAACAAATGATGTACAATGCATGCATTGAGGCTATACTAAACTACAATAAATCAATAAGAATTAAAAGTACTGGGATATCACTTTGGAATAAGAATAATTAGAAGCATAAAACATAACAACAAAAAAAGCATGCCTTATAGTTGTTAACTTCTATGTCATTTGGTCTCTGGTGGAGAGTTGTCTCATTGGCAATTATACCACATCTTCTTATTTTTATACTTTGAACATGGAGGAGCTTCAAAAGACAAAAATAACCCGCTTAAATCACAGCTAATAGCAGCCTAATGTCTATTACATAAGGC